AAGAAGGAAATCCTGTCATTTACAACAACATGAATGAATGTAGAAGATATCTTAAGTGAGATAAGCTAGATAAGAGCAATTATTGACACTGAAATGCTTGCTTGAAAATTCTAACTTCATTTTAATTCCTAATAAACATGGCTTTGTGAAACAGCACACCTCACTGTCTAAAACAATAATTCTTTCACCTGTGTAAGTTAGATTCTGACAATTTGTCATGATTGACAAAATCAGAATCAAAACACCTTGATTCTGGATATACCCAAATACTTAATGTTTGCAATGAAAAGAGTTTGGTGCTGGATATTTATCCTTTGTACCTCCAGATCCACACTCCACCGTTTTCCTCTCTGTTATGCCCCAGGAGATTCACCTCTAAGGACTGTATCACCTATGCTCCTTTCTTCTAGCTTCCTGTTGGGTCTGTTGATCAAGTGAAAGTACCAGCAGGACATCAAAAGGTGTGATAAAAGAGATGTTGGGGTATTTATTACCCTGGCTTCTTCCTTCTAGGGCCATGGTTTAGCTCTAGCTGCTTTCTTCCTAAAGTCATAGCTTATGTCAGGTGACCGCTTTCTTATTTAGTTAAATTTCCCTTTGTCCCTTCAGGCCTAGGTTTGATAAATGCTTCCAGCTTTTGCTAGTGCGTGGGAGCTTCATCATCATTTGTTGGTTCCCTTGATCCTGGTTCATACTTCTGTACATACAGTTGATCCTTCAACAATGCAGCTGACAATTCACGTGTAACTTTCCCCACATTGTTACTTAAGTGGTCAGGCAGTTAAGTGCTTTTTTAGTTGGCCCTGTGGAACCTGCACATAGGAAACGTCAGTCCTCTGTTTAAGCAGTTTCCACACACAGTAGGACCCACGCAGGTCAAACCCTTCAAATCTATGTCATTCAAGGGTCAACTGTAGTTCTTTAACTAAGTTCTCTACAGGTACCCCTTTCAGGTGTTCTATCAGTTTTATGCTGGGGCACTGAAAGATGAAGTAATGAATTATTCTTAATATTCATATTTCATAAACAGCTCAAAATATCAACATATATAAACTAATAACATGAATGATCCTTTTTCTTTCATTCTATAAATATTAATAGTTAGTAGAGACTTAAGATCTTGTTAATATATTTAAAAAAAGAACAAATTATCCTCTATCAAAATGAATGATATAAATCATGATGTAACAGTATTCCAAGACTAATTCAAATTGAAGGCATTTACTCACTAGAATATATTTCCTGGAATAGAGGAGATTTATGTTGAAAGATAAATACATACTTAGATGCTGGGGTGGTCATTTTCCTCTTTGCTCTCAGAACCATTTTTTTATTTTCTTTTCCTTTCTTCCTCTCTTTCTTTTCCTTTCTTCCTCTCTTTCTTTTCCTTTCT